CCGTGATCGCGCACTCTGCCGCAGGAGCTGGTCCCGATGGCAGATTTGGTTTCTGAGCATAGGCGCGTGTTGCCCATCGGTAACTCCGTCGGTAACTCCGTTCTTTTCCTGCTCTCCGTCCTCCCCGTCCCACCTCGTCCTCCTCCTTCCTCTTCTCCCTCCTGGACGTCTTTCGCTTGCTCCTCCCTCCTCCTTCACTCACCCGTCCTCCGCGTCCCCGTCGTCGTCCTCATCCTGGGATTTGCTTCAGCGAGGGTAATCCTTCTCTTCCTGGGGTAAGGAGGCTGCGTGGTAGGATTCCGAGAGGTCTCCAAATACGACCCAACAGGGCTTGAGGTGCCCCCGACGTGGCCCTCGCACGCACGAGGCATAAGTGGTTGGTTGGGCGTTCTCGTGCGCTCTGCGCCCTCTCCTTGTCCCCGAGCCTCCGACGCCGCGATTTGTTCACAACGTTGACGCCTGGAGGTCTTGACCACTTCTCATGTCCTAAGAGGGGTTTCTTGTCCTCGTTCAGACGCATCCAACGCACCCACACCTCCCTCTGCCTTCACACTCAGACTCAAGCATGCTCAGTCTCATTCGCACCTAGACTCACTCCGCTCACATCCTCCTCTTCCTCACCCAGGCTCACTCATACTCAGACTCAATCGCAATCAGGCTCGCCCATGCTCAGACTCGCACTCAGGCTCAGACTCACTCACAATCAGCATCACTCGCCCTTGGACTTGCGACGCACTCGCACTTAGACTTGCATAGTGTGAGGTTATCTCGGCCAGCTTGCTGGTTTCGGTGGTTGCACTCCCCGTTCGCGGCCAGTTCGGTGGCTTGGACGTGTCTGCTTCCAGAGCAGATTGCGATACTGTTTCAGCCGATTTGCTGGTTTCAGCACGGTGTGCTCGTTTGGTGGCCCAGACTCTTACGCTTTCGATGCATATTCGGGGGATGTCGCGAGCAGTTTGCCTGTTTGGTGGTCCAGACCCTTCCGCTTGTCAGAGCAGATTCTGGGGGTAGCTCGAGCGGCTTGCCTGTTTGGTGGCCTAGACTCTTTTTGCTATCAGAGCAGATTCTGGGGGTAGCTCGAGTGGCTTGCCCGTGTGGTGGCCCAGACCCTTTCTGCTTTCAGAGCAGACTGTGAGGCCGTCTCGTGCGGCTTGCCCGTGTGGTGGCCCAGACCCTTTCCCGCTCTTCAGAGCAGACTCTGTGAGGCCGTCTCGAGCGGCTTGCCCGTGTGGTGGCCCAGACCCTTTCCCGCCCTTCGGAGCAAATTGCGAGGCCGTCTCGAGCGGCTTGCCCGTGTGGTGGCCCGTGGGGAGGAGGAGGAGGAGGAGGAGGAGGAGGAGAGGAGGAGGGAGGAGGAGGAGGAGGAGGAGGAGGAGGAGGAGGAGGAGGAGGAGGAGGAGGAGGAGGGGAGGAGGAGGAGGGGGAGGAGTGCCCGCTCTTCAGAGCAGACGGCGAGGCCGTCTCGGGCGAGGCGGTGGCTCCACCGCCGCAACGCGGGGAGCCGCCCAGGCCCGTTCGCGCTCGGATGGTTGGGCTGCCTCGGGCAGTGTGCTCGTGTTGGCCCCCTGCTCCTCATCCTCACTCTTCCTCCTTCTCCTCCTCCTCCTCCTCCTCCTCCTCCTCCTCCTCCTCCTCCCTCCTCCTCCTCCTCCTCCCTCCTCTCCTCCTCCTCCTCCTCCTCCTCCTCCTCCTCTCCTCCTCCTCCTCCTCCTCCGTCCTCCTCCTCCTCCTCCTCTCACTCCTCTCCTCCTCCTCCTCCTCCTCCCTCCTCCTCCTCCTCCTCTCCCCTCCTCTCCTCCTCCTCCTCCTCTTCTTCCTCCTCCTCCTCCCCTCCTCCTCCTCCGTCCTCCTCCTCTTCTCCTCCTCCTCCTCCCTTTGTCCCTCCTCCTCCTTCCTATCCTCCTCCTCCCTCCCTCCCCTCCTCCTCCTTCTCCTCCTCCTCCTCCTCCTTCTCCTTCCTCCTCCTCCCTCCTCCTCCCTCCTCCTCTCCTCCTCCTCCTCCTCCTCCTCCTCCTCCTCCTCCTCCTCCTCCTCCTCCTCCCTCCTCCTCCTCCTCCTCTCCTCCTCCTCCTCCTCCTCCTCCCTCCTCCTCCGCCTCCTCCTCCTCTCCTCTCCTCCTTCCTCCTCCTCCTCCTCCTACCTCCTTCCTCCTCCTCCTCTCTCCTCCCTCCTCCTCTTCCTCCTCCTCCTCCTCTCCTCCTCCTTCCTCCTCGGTCCTTCCTCCTCCTCCTCCTCCTCCTCCTCCTCCTCCTCCTCTTGCTCCTTCTCCTCCTCCTCCTCCTCCTCCTCCTCCTCCGTCCTCCTCCTCCTCCTCCTCCTCCCCTCCTCCTCCTCCTCCTCCTCCTCCTCCTCCTCCTCCTCCTCCTCCTCCTCCTCCTCCTCCTCCTCCTCCTCCTCCCCCTCCCCTCCTCCCCCTACCTGTCTGCTTTCGGATCGGAGCAGTCTGTGAGGACGGCGTGAGCGAGGCGCTGGTTGCAGCACCCCAATGCGAAAGCCGCCAGGGAGCAGGCGGTGAGGATCTCTCGAGCGAGGCGCGGGCTTCCGCTCCTCAATGGGGAGCCGCCAATGGGGCAGAACACTCGCCCATTCGCTGCCAGGCTGTGGGGACGCTTCGGGGGGCCAGGGAGGAGCAGGGAGGGCGGAGCAGGAATTTGGAGGACGCAGGAGGGGGCAGTCCATATTCCCCCGCGCCGTCGTCGTCCTCCTCCGTTTCCCCTCCCCTCCTGCCAATCGCGCACTCTTCTGCCCACGCGCCCTACCGGAAACCCGGCTCAGTGGCGGCAGTGGTGCCCAAGCGCCGTGCCAAGGGCTGGCGCATGGCTTCTGTACTGTAGGAGGGGGCAGAAGGGAAGAAGAGAGGAGGAGAGCGCAGTGCTTACGGCGAGGAGGAAGAAACGGGGACCGGGGAGGATGCCGCTAGGACAGTGGGCACGCGCCAGGGAAGGGGGAGGGTAGGCGGAGGAGGGGGGAGGGACGAATGGGGGGAAGGGCAGCCGCTGGGGAGGACGAGCGAGGACAGCGGTAGGAAGGAGGCGGACCCAGGAGGAGGGAAATTGGGAGGAAGGAGCAGGAGCAGTGAGGGAGTACGACGAGGAGGAAAAGACGAGAGAGAGGGAAAGGACCTGCTCATCGCTTGCTTGTGAGTTGTTTTCGTTGCCGCCGCTGTCTCGCATCGTAACCGCCGCCGCCGCCGCCGCCGCCGCCGCCGTCGTCGTCGTCGTCGTCGTCGTCGTCGTCGTCGTCGTCGTCGTCGTCGTCGTCGTCGTCGTCGTCGTTCACTTGGATTTGCACTCACATCCCGTACACTAACAGCCAGACGCTCGCAGCGGAACCTGCCAGGAAACGAGCTGCACACACGGGGATCTCCGTGTCGAGTGGTTCGACGGTCCCAGGGCTGGGTAAAAACGCCACCAGAAGTTTTTTTTCGCTCACGATGCCGGGAGGCGCATGGGTCCTGCTGCTCGCCTCCTCCTCGCCCGAAGCTGCGCGCGCGCTCGCGCCCGAGGGGGCCGAGGTAGGCGTCAGGGGTGTGCCTGGGTGGGAGGGCTGGTTTTGCCGTTGTGGAAAGTCACTAAACCAAAGTGGGTGGGGGGCCATTCGTGGTTTCGGGGGGCCTTTCGGGGTTCACAGGACCGTCGAAAGTTGGTTCAGGGTGAGAAACTGGTCCCCGGAAAGGGGCGAGACTTCAGGGGGCCCACGTTGTGAACGATTCATGACGTCGGAGGTCTGGGAGGGTGCCGGGGATGGCGTCATGGGGGCCAGGGCGTCACCGCTTGGCACCCCAGCACACCGTCCGCGACAATGGACATGTGGTCATGTCAACCCCGTCGGCGAGGATGGTACCAGGGGACATCCCCCAGCATGTACCAGGGGGGCTCGGGGGATGGGCGGCTTGGGTGCGGTCTATCAGGCGATCGCAAACATGGATTAAGGGGGTGTGGATTAGCGACGGGTCCCGTTTCCAAGGGAAATCGCGGATTCCCTTCCGCCGAGCGATGCGGTACCGGCCGCACTTTGGGGAGGGCATCTCCCCCGATCCATGGATTAGGCGACCGCGCGCCAAATCCATGGATGGCTAATCCATGTTTGCGCGCCCCCGAGTTCAGTTAGAGCCAGTTTGGTTTCCTCTCTCTTTCGGGGTATGTTTCGGCTCGCCTCTTCAGATGGCTTCGGCTCGCCGTTTTGGGCCGCACTTCGGTACGGCTTGCTCGTTTTCCGATTTATGGAAGTCTCCCGCTCTCGTCTTGCGTGTCGGCTAGAGTCCGACAGTCTGAACGTCGGCCGGAGCACTTTGGCGGCGCGCACGCGGGGGTGGCGCGAGGGGGACGGCCTGCCTAGACGGCGGCGCACCTCTGAGAAGGCGTGGGCCTTCTTCGATGGGCCGGGAGGGCTCCCAAGCAGGCTTCTCAGAAGCCGGGAGGGCTTCTGAGAGGGCCCCTGCTGCCCCCTTGTGCGCGCCGCCACGCACTGTCAAAGGGGAGCGCAATTACATCAGGAGGGAAAGAAACACACAGACACAATAAATCGTCGACTCCCAGGAAAATATGGGAAAATATGGGAATTGGGGGGGAAGACAAAAACCAAGAAGATATGGGAAAATATGGGGAACCATTTTATTAGTGTGCATTTATTTGTGTGTCCTTGGGCCCCTTGATTACAGTAGGCAGGAAGCTATTCGGCGTCCTCCTCGTACTCCTGCGCAGGCTTCCGCTCGCCTGGAGCAGGCACCTTCCGGGGAAGCTGGTCGCGGTCGATCCACGGCAGTTCTGTTTCTGGCACCTCTGGAGCTGGAGACACCAGCCAACGTGGTGGGAGGTCGGGGCCTCCATGATCATCAGGAGGGGAACAAAAACACACAGGCACAATTCATCGACGATCCCCAGGAAAATGTGGGGAAATATGGGCAGTTGGGGGGGAAGACAAAAACCCAGAAGATATAGGAAAATATGGGGGGATCCTGTTATTTGTGTGTATTTATTTGTGTGTCCCAGGGCCCCTTCAGATCAGCTGTTCTGGATCAGTTTGTTTGCTTCCCTGCCTGCCGTACGGCCTCCTAGCCACAGGGGCTGCTTTGGCCTCGGGAAGGCATGTCTTCGAGCCATGCGGGCAGGTGCCTGGCGGCTGGCAACGTGGCCGCCATCACGGGCGCCTCTTCTGGCATCGGGCGTGCCGTGGCGCGGCACTGCGCGAGGCTTGGCATGAAGGTCTTCCTCGCCGACAACGACGAGGAGCAGCTGGCCGCTGCCCTGGCCGAGGTCTCCGGTCTGGCGGCCGGGGCCCCCAGCGACGTGGTCGCCGTGAAGACCGATGTGTCCGACCCAGCTGCGGTGAAGCGCTTCCGAGAGGCGGCCTTCGCAGCCACCGGGGCGGTGCACTTCCTGATGAACAACGCGGGCACCGGCGGCGGCGGCGGAGCCTTGGCCCCCCTCGCGGATTGGCAGCGCACGGTGGCCGTCAACACATGGGGCCCGATCTATGGGTGCCAGGAGTTCGTGCCCGCCATGAAGGCCTGCGGTCAGCCTGGCCTGATCGTGAATACTGGCTCTAAGCAGGGTATCACCATGCCGCCAGGCAATCTGGCCTACAACGTGTCGAAGGCTGCGTTGAAGGCGTACACGGAGGGGCTGGAACACGAGCTCCGGTCCGAGGAGGGCTGCAAGCTCGCGTCCGCTCTGTTGGTGCCAGGCTGGACGAACACCGAGATCATGCTCAAGTCGAAGCGTGATGCGGCGGTGGGCTCGGGGCAGTCTTTCGATCCCGACAGCGTGTTCTTCCACGAAGGGAAGCCCGCGGCTGGGGCTTGGATGCCACAGCAGGTGGTGGACTACATGCTGGCCGAGCTTGAAAAGGGACGATTCTATATAATTTGCCCGGACAACGACGTGGACCGGGAGACCGACAATCTCCGCATGACATGGACGATGCAAGACATCACTCAGGATCGGCCGCCCTTGAGCAGGTGGCACCCAGATCACAAGGACGCCTTCACGGCCTTCCTGAGTGCTAGTAGGGGTGCAGGTACATAGATTGGCACCCAGGATGCACAAGCGGCGCTGGGCGCGGATGTGGCCGTGCCCTCTGGCGAGCCCAAGCGGGCGAGGTCGTGGGCCACCTCTGGTCAGCTACCGCCCTGCCACCTTCGTCACAGTGGGCGGGAAGCCGACAGAATCGCCAATCGCCAGGTGGACAAGGAAATCGAGGAAAAAAAACAGCCATAAACATAAACTTTTGGCGCTCCGCGCGGATTTCTTGGACCCGCGCTGGGCCCCCCCCGGCGGCGCCAGCGCGCTCCGCGCGCCAGGGAGGGGGGTCCAGCGCAGGTCCAAGAAATTCGCGCGGAGCGCCAAAAGTTGATGCTTATGGCCTTCTGTCGTTGTTGTTGTTGTTGTTGAATGTTATTGCTTCTAAAGAAATATTATTGTTGGGACCCCTGGTGCGCGACCCCCCCGTTTTATCTAGGCCGCAGCCTTGTTTTCATCATTTTCGAGCGAAAGCCCTTGACAAAACGATGTGATCCAGATCCGGTTGTTTTGTTCCCCCCCGCTTTCCCTTGCAAAAAACAATATAAAATGACATTTCTTGTTCTAACATAACCACATTTCAAGAATCCATTGCAAAAAATGACACGAAGTGCACATCGCCGCGGCCGCCGCGCGCGCATGTCGAAATCCTTCCAAACACACTGTGATTTCAACAATTTCAAGATGCGATGTCAAGGAAACATATGAAAACACACCACTTTCTCATCAACAAAAATCTGAAAATCTGCCCCCGCGCGCATGCTGAATCCTTCCAAAACCAATGGTTTTTCAACATTCCTATCAAACGGGGCTTCGAGGGCAACTTTTGCGCTCACCTCGAACTGCTTCAACAACGTCTGCGCGCCTGCGACGGCCACCATCCCTTGGGAAAAGTGGGAAAAGTGGGAAAAGTGGGAAAAGTCGTATACTAAGCTAGCGTCCAGAAAATGTTACCACAACAAGTCACTGTACCCATGCGCCAGTGTAGTAGCCAAGGTCGTCCGCATGCCACGAAGTGAAGTGTCCGAACGTCATAGGGCGGGAAGCTGGGTGTGGGTGGTCGCGAAGAGTCGTTTGGAAATTTGGGAGAGCTTGAACTGCCCCCCCACAAAGTGGGGGTATTGGCCGGCGTCCCATGAAAACCCTGGCACTGGTGAGAACGGTGTGTCCCCACGTGCTAGTAATTGTTGTTGTTGTTGCTGTTGTTGTTATTCTTCTTCTTTTTCATATTCTCCTTCTTCTTCTTCTTCATTAGAAAGTAAGGCACCCTCTGGATCCTCAGGGCCTCTCGCGTTCAAAGCCAGCGGCGGGACCAAGATTGGCGTCCGATGCCCCGTACCTTCTACTGTGGGGAGGGCGCGGGGCGTCGCCCGATGCTAGATTCAAGTCGGGCATGTCCCTCCGCAGTAGGAATAGTCAAGAATAGTTAGAAAAATAGTATGGGGACGAATTCCGTTCTCTGTCGACTATTTTTGTTTTCTTTGTCTATTGATTTTTATTTTCTTCCCAAATCCGCCTCTAGGAGGACATGCCCGATCTAAGATTAGCTTTCCGCTGCAGAAGACAAGTAACGATTTTCTTCGACAACTCATCGCGCCTGGCTGGAAATTTCGCAGGCCCACGCCCCGGAAAAGGGCACCGGCTGGCGATTGTGGGCCAAGTCTTGGGTTTTCCCCTTCCCCAGCTCTCTCCTCCTTTCCTTCCTTCCTCAACCTGTCCCGCTTTCTCGTGTCGGATCTTGTCGGATTGGGGGCGACTCTTCTTGACGAGCGGATCGAGCAGCCAGCAGTTTTTCTTGAGTTGTTTGGGCTGTAACACGGGTCTTTCGCGGCAGCCGTTCTTACCCCTGATGCTCGAGGATAGACCCAGACCTCCAATGCTTTTGTTGTTGTTGTTGTTGTTGTGGTTCTTGATGTTGTGGTTGTTGTCGTCGTCGTCGTCGTCGTTGTTGTTGCTGTTGTCGTTGTTGTTGCTGTTGCTGTTGCTGTTGCTGTTGCTGTTGCTGTTGCTGTTGCTATTGTTGTTGTTGTTGTGGTTATGGTTGTGGTTGTGGTTGTGGTTGTGGTTGTGGTTGTGGTTGTGGTTGTTGTTGTTGTTGCTGCTGCTGCTGCTGCTGCTGTTGTTGTTGTTGTTGTTGTTGTTGTTGTTGTTCGGTAAGGCGTTGACACCCGCCCCAGATTGTTGTTGAGATCTTCTTCTTCTCTCAAAACTCAAGTGCTTACCTTAAGGATAAGCAAAGCTCCAGCAACCGAGGGCTTGCCCCACGGGGCCGGAGAAGGGGTTGGCACTGGGGCGGCAGCGCAAGGTGCCCCCCGGGGCCGGAGAAGGGATCGGCATCCCTGGCGCGTTTCCAGAGGTTTCCCCAGGATTTCCGCGAATCCCTCAGGAGTCCTTTGGATTCCTGAGGACCTCAGGATTCCTCAGGAGCCATTCCGCGGGATCCCCGAGGATTCCTCAGGATCAGGATGGACCCCAAAAGATATTATCCTGGGTTTATAACGTTTTGGGATTATTGACCAGGTTTCATAATGTCTCGCATTATGAACCTGGGTTTCAATGTTTTGGGAATGTTGACTGGGGTTCGTAATGATCCCCCCGGAACGTTATAAACCCTGGTTTATAACGTTCTCGGGATATCGACACCAAAAACATATTAACTTGGGTTCATAATGTTCCGGGAATGTTCATTGGGGTTGTTAATTCACCGGGAATAAGGACAACGGTTTTCATAATTCCGGGATGATAATAATTATTATTTCCCCCCCACCCCTGGGTTCCCCACCAGGTTTTTCATGTCGCCGGTTTAGTATCTCCAGGAGATAATAAACCCGGGTTCGCAATGTTTCCGGAATCTTGACCCCGGGTTCATGATTCTGGAATGTTAATGATTGAGCCTGGGGGGCGCCGTTTGAGAGTACGTTCCGGACTGCAATAAACCCTGGTCCATAATGTTGGAATATTGAACTCAGATTGATTATTCCGGAAAGATCATGATTCGGCTGGGGGGGCTGAGCACGATCCATTCACATGATAGTAATCCATAGGGAATCATCTGAAGATAATGAATCTAGGTTCTCTTTCCTAGATAATAAGCCACGGGCGACGAGGATTTCGCACCTACCCCCCTTAGGATCCTCCAGGATTTCTCGGATCGGCGCTGGACCCCCCTCCCTGGCGCGCTCCGCCAGGGAGGGGGGTCCAGCGCCGATCCGAGGAGTCCGCGCGGACCTCCGAGTTTTTATGTTTATGTCACTTTTTGTTCCCCTATCCTGGGCCATTGGGGCCCACTCAGGCCGCCACGGGAATGCCGAGGGCCTCTGAGCAGTTCCCCATGTGGCCGTGGAGGTTCGAGGAGCTCGCCGAAGGCCTCCAGGAACGCGCCATACCTCCCAGCGCCCCACGGCACCGAAGCAGAGCCTGGGCGAACCCTCGTCAGGCCTCCTCAAGCGTCCTGCGACCCCGGGGGCCTTCCGCAAACGCCAGCGCATTGCAGAGCTGCAGAGCTTACGTGATCGGCGCGAAGCCTGCGCACTGTCCTGCGCCGCGAGGGCATATTGGGAGCCCCGCGGGCCCGTCCACCTGGGTGGCCGAGCGTGGCTTGTGGCTGTAGCCGAGGCGCGGCCTCTGGGGGCCTCCGAGGAGCCTCCAGAGACCCACATCTGGCCGCGGAGTTCCACGGAGGCTTCCAGATGTCGCCGTCGCCGCCGACGTCGCCGCCGCCGCCGCCGTCGCCGTCGAAAATGCTCTGTTTTCGGAGGCCTCTGGGGGCCGGGGGCGCCCTGGAGGCCCCCAGAGGCTTCCTCTGCGCGTCGGAAAGAGTGGGGATCGTTGTCGTCCTCTGCCCCAGGGCGCGAGGAGGGCGCCGGTCACTTGTGCACCGCGCGCCGCGCCCCTTTGATGCGGTTGCGAACGACGGCAGGGCCCCCAGCCGCCATTTCAGTCATCTTCGGGGACTCCACGAGTGACCAGGCTTCTTCGACTCGGTCTATGGCCACGCCGTCGCTGTAATGCCAGCAGCGGAAGAAATGTTGAATTCTGGCGCGCCAGAACTTCGCGATGCTGACGGCCGCGTTGGCGGTGCATGTCTCCGCGTCAAAGGTGACGATACGCTGCGTCTTCGTGCCCCGGCAGATATCTGACGCCTGCCTTGATCGCGCTTGCCCGCGGTTGTCATCGTGCGCGGCCCACGGGTGCTCGAGCGTCCGGCGCGTTCCACGGATTGATCAGTAGAAGGGGCCCCGACGTCCCCGACGGCAGTGGCCGCGTGATTTCGAACGTTCCATAACAAGAACAGCGCATCATCCGCAATGCGTTTCCCGATGCGGGCGAGTGGTGAGACGCCATCGGTCATCTTGTCCTGGGCCGTCGGCGACGCGCTGTCGCTGATGCGCGGCGGAGTTGGGTCGTGGCCATCCAGGCGAAGCCCGTCCCGTGCAGAGCTGGCCGCGCTGTTGGCAGCGGGCCGCGCGACCCTGCGTGGGGGAAAACATGACGAGATGAGAACGTTTTGTGCATGCTGGTCAGTGGGCCCTGCTGGTGGGGCCTTCGGTGGGGCTCCTTGTGGATGCGCAAAACTCAGGAGGGGAAAAAACACACAGACACAATTCATTGTCGATTCCCGGGAAAATATGGGAAAATATGGGAAATGTGGGGGAAAACAAAAACCAAGACAATTCGGGAAAATATGGGGAATCATTCAATTTGTGTGTATTTGTTTGTGTGTCCCAGGGCCCCTTCAGAACAGAAACGTGTGAGGTGCGCGCTGCATCGGATGCCGGTGCGCCATGCGGACCCTGCCGCTGGGGCCTTCGGTGGGGCCCCCCCCATGGAGCCGCGCGAAGCGAGTGGCGGGTGTGCCGAATCGGGCGCGGGCGCGCCGTGCGGGCCTGGCCGCGGGGGCCTTCGGCGGAGTGCCCTTCGGGGCCGCGAAGCGTACGAGGTGTGTGTGTGTGTGCCGCATCGGGTATGGGTGCGCCGTGCGGGCCTTGCCGCTGGGGATTTCGGTGGAACTCCCTATGAGGCCGCGGTGCGTGCGTGGGAGGTGTGTGTGTGTGTGTGTGTATGTTCAGCCAGCTGTGCCTCCGCCAGCTGCCCCCCCGGCGGTAGGTTCTGATCCCGCGCTCGGTCGCTGTGCATTTTGGCTCGCGCGTCGCCTCCCCTAATTTGATCGGCCCGTGGCCCGCACCTTT